CCTGGGCTAGTGGGTTGTGACATGATCGGTACCTGGTAGCATCATGGCTGTTGAGCTCTGCTGAATGGGCTGACTCATTGAGGCCAATCTTACGTTCCCAGGCCTACATGCTACAAAAGCACATGCTCAGTTGGCTCAAATTGGTGCTTGTATTTGCTGCTTTCCACAGAAATGCCAAAAACAGAGGAGGAATGTTTAAAAACAATTCATAAAATTGGCAGCTGCATCGCCAAAATGTAGTCAATTTGTCCAGGGTAGTCTGGAGAAGTTGAGGCGGGTTCTATGGCAGTACTGGCAGGGGTGGGAGAGATCAGCGATCGTCCCCTGTGACAGCCTGGAAGCCACAAGAGCACAGGGCACAGCTGATGGGTAGGAGAGGCTCTCCCCAGCCAGGGGATCCCACGAGAACTCTCCTGTTAACTCTCCCCTACAACTATGAAGAGACTTCGAAAAGCTCATGGAAAGATTTGTATTAGCTTTTAATTCAACTTTTCCACGAACTTTTTGAAGTACCCTTGTATTTCGGACCTTCTCCATGCTCCTCAGCCCTCCAGCCCTCCGATCTTGCAGGGGAACCGAAGGCAGCAAACAGGAACTTTGTCATCTTCACAGCACGGAGACGTTAGCCTCCTTCCATCTGCCACCAGCCTGCCTCTTCTCGTGCACAACGAAAGAGCGGTTCTTTCTGTTTCAAGCCAGGGCCCTGGGTTTTAGAGCTGTCCCCTCACGTCATCTAGGTCTCTTGGGACATCAGTTATCCCCTTACTCATTTTTCAGTCCCTCCCCTGCTTAAGTGCATGCAGGTTGTTCCGATTAAAGACAAGCCAGTGAGTAATGCCCTCATTCGGTTCCTCTCCCAGTACACCTCCTTTCTATGCCTCTTGCTTCAATGTTCTTCATACAGACATTCGTCCTCTTCACTGTCCCCCCAGACTTTCAGCCCCGTCACTGAACCCAACGGCCAGCAGATACACTAGTTCTCAACTTACTTGACCTTTTGACAGTTGTGAATATCCTTCCTTCTGGAAACAGTGTCTTCCCCAGGCTCCCCCGACGTTTTCCTTCTGTCCTCCGCTCCCCTTGGCTGTTGCATGGTGCAGGCGTTGGTCAGTGCCCATGTGGTCATTCTCTGGACTACACACAGACCGTCTTGTCCCCCACAGAGTCAGGGAGGCTGCGACTTCTACATGTGAGATCTGCCCAGACTTCTCCTCTGAGCTCCAGATGAATGTATCCCGTCATTTTTACACTGTCTCTTCCTGGATAACCCAAGGGCACCCCATGAAGTCCAAGGGTACCTAGAACCCGTCAGTCCTGGTCATCCTCCAGCACTGCGTGTGTCTGGGAATAGCACCAGCATCATCCCAATGCCTGTGGCAGAAATGTTAGCGTTATTCTGGCCGTTGTCTTCTCCCTCGGCCATCACGTCCGGTCCATCAGTATATACCATTGGTTTTTACCTCTTCAATCTTTCTTAAGCCCACCCACCTTCCCCAACTCTGCTTCTGCCCTCTGAACTCAAAATGCTGTCCTGTCTTGCCTGGTCAGTTGCAACAGGTCAACCTGCGTCCATTCTGGCCCCTCTATCCTATTCTCACGCTGCCAGACTAATCTTTTATAAATGTAAATCTAATCATGTCTGCCCCATGGGTGAAATTCTTCCCGTGGCTCTTAGGGTAAGGCCAGAGCATGTTAATGTGGCCTCCGTGGGGTTGGGCCCCTTCCCAACCCGCCAGCCTCGTGCAGCCGTGTTGATCTTGCCCCTCGAGCAGCTGGATGAGGGTCTTTACTGCCTGTCGTTGCTTGCTCTTCTCACGTCTCTCCCCTTCAGGTCTCAGCACAGTGTCATTTTCAGGGAAGCTCCCCCCCCCCACCCTCCCACCTCCCGTGAGTGGTCTTCAAAAAGTTCATGGAAAGTTTCACATTATCTTTTTTTTTTTTTTTTTTTTCCTTTTTATCTTTTTTCGTGACCGGCAACGGATCGCAACCCTCAGTGTCGCGCCCGTACCGGCCCGGGACCAGCAACGGGATCACAACCCTCGGTGTTGCTCCCGCGCCTCGCTCAGCCAGTGAGCGGAACCGGTCTGTATGTGGGATCCGAACCCTTGGCGGGAGCGCCGCCGCGCTTCCCAAGCCGCGCACTGTAGCAGTGCGCCACCCGGCCAGCCCTCACATTATCTTTCAACTCTATTTTTCCGTGAACTTTTGGAAGTACCTTCATGTGTACATGTTTATATATACATGTATATATATTTTTTAATTTTCTGTATATTATAGTGTTTTGAGAAAGCCTTTCTGCCTGGGGAGAAACTGCCTCTCCCAGGGCTAGCCAGTTCTTAGAGACAGCAGGGCCCAGCTGGGAATGTGCCTTTGATTTGCAAACTAACCAATCCAGAGCCAGGCCTCCTGTAGCTGGCCTGTACCCCACCCCACCCCCAAAAGGCAATATTCCTCTGCCTGGATCATCCCAGGGCTGGGTACCAGGCAACTGGAGACCACCCCTATAGCTTGGAGCCTGCTGGAATTATTCAAACTAGCCAATCCTAAACTGTTCACCCAGCCCTGCCTTTCCCATAGAAATCCCAGTAAAGGCCATGGCCTTGGCCTGGGCTCCTCCCCTACCTCCCCTTGCTCCTGCCCCGTCTGCCTCCTGACCACCCTGTGCTTCCCCATGTGGCCCTGCATGGTGTGCTGTCTCCTGTCTCTAGGTCTGGGAGTGTGATAAACCTTGTCTTCCTAAGCCGCTCCTCTGCTTCCTCTTGTGGCTGCACCTGGCTGACCGTCACATAGAAGAACACAGAACACCGTGACTAGGTGTTCCATGACATAGAAGAACACAGAACACTCCCCATCCCAGACACTCAGAGTCCTCGGGGGCTCTGGTTCACTGCACTTGTCTCTGGTATGTCTTTACTTTTCTTGGGAAGTACTTTTCTTGACTCTTGTCTGTCTTCCCTGCTAGACTGTAAGCTCCGTGAACCACAGACTGTGATTGTTTTCTCATCGTTGTATTCCCAGAGCCCAGCATAGGGACACAGCAAGTAATGTTTTGTTGAACAGATGAGTGAGTTTGAAGAACAGGGTTTGAGTGCCAACTTTGGGCAGCTGTTTTCTGAATCTCTTTCTCATCACTACCAGTTGGAGATACTTCTGTACCTTTTCTGTCTTTTGAGATTCTTGGGAGGAAAGTAATATATCTCACAAATGGTCCTTGCTGTTTTGAATGATTCTCTCCCATTTTAGGGTTGAGGCTTATGAGCATGACAGTGGAGATGATCGATTAATGCCATTTTTTCTCTTACAGAAAAAATGGGGATGAGGAATACAGAAATAAAGATTTTTTCATAGAATCTTATTTATTTCAAAAAGGCGATGGGGAAAAATTAAACTGAATGAGTAGAAATTTAAAATTTCTAATTTTTCATTACGAGAATTCTGAGTGCTCATTTAAGGTAATTTGGATAACATAGAAAGGCAGAAGAAAAGAAGAAAGCACCCAACATCCAACCCCCAAAGAAATTTTCCCACGTTCTTAAATATTCATCAAGAACATAATTTTTAATGCCTGCATGGCAATGTGTCATGTGGATGTACATTATTTTATTTAGGATATTGTAACAATTTTCACTATTATAAAAATGTTGCAAGTAGTATTCTTTGTATATAAATCTTTGTGTGCATAAATACATAATTTACAAAAGTAAATTACAAAAGTAAAATTTACAAAAAGAAGACTGGATGAAAGGACATGTGTAAGAATACTTTCTAGGCTTTAGGTCATTTTTCCCTAATATGTCTCCATTAAACTTGTACCAGTTCACACAACCATCAGTAGAGTGAGACGGTGTTGCATCCCTGCTTCTTGGCCTACTTTGGGTATCAAATGAATGTGCGTGTGTATATATATTCAGGCATATCTAGAGGCAAATTAAATGGGTAGTCATGGTATTTCATTGTTTTAGTGTACATTTCTGGTGCAAATTACTCCAGAACTTCAACATTTTCCTGTTAGCCATTGGCATGTTTTCTTGATGAATTACTTGTGGGTCTTTGCATAGTTTTCTGCAGGGTACTTTCTCTTGTTCATATTTACTTATAAAACCGTCTTGATATTAAGCACATTAACCTTATTTTTGTCACATGTGCAAATATGAGCTTCCATAGAACCCTTTCCAAATGACCAAAAGTTCAAGGGGAGTTTAAAGAAAAGCACATGTCCATAGGATTACAAAGGAAAAAAATAGAAAACAACGTGTGAAATGGGATATCATTAACTTATGCTTTATTAATATGGGCAGCTCCTTTCTGTCTTATTTGGGAATTTCACTGTTCAGACTGTGCTCAGGAGTGTGCAGGTGGACAGAGTCTGGACTTTGAGGTTGGACGGACCTGTTTTCAGTGCTAGCTCTGCCAATCTCTAACTGAGGGACCTGGGACAAATGATTTAGCCTCTGGCAAGTCTCAGATTTCTCTCCTGGGTAACAGGAATCCTCTGGCTTGCTTTGAGAGGTAAACAGCTCCCAGGTAGAGTGTGGTGCCGAGGTGTGTTCTACGCATATCCATTCCCTTCCCATGTCCCTCATAGTTGTGCTATTCTGTATAGACTTGCACAGGTTTGTGTTTTGTTTCAATAAGGAGCATGCATATTTCCCTCACCTGGTAGCCAGATATGTGATCGTGCAGTAATATTTTCTGAATAGGTAAATATGGTAAAATATAAATGAGAGTAGAAAAATTCTTAGTCAGCTGTTAACTATTTACCTGATTCTAGGACAGGTATTCATTTTCAAGTCAGGGATAGTATTAGCAAATAAGGACCTGTTGTATAAAAGTAGTTTACAATGTAAGATATGGCATTCTGGAGAAAAAGAGAAACAGATGGCCCCAAATACTCAGAAATATTTTCATTTTAAACAGCTTCCAATAAAGTCTCAAATACTCTTTAATTGAGAACTCATGTCTCAATCTGTTTTGTTTTGTTTTTTTCTTTCCCCTTTTAGGTGTGGCTGGATCTCTTAAAACCTATTGTGAAACAGATTAGAAGTAAGTATATGCCCTGTGTTTAACAGGAATGTGAAATGTAAAGCTGGTCATTTCCACATCCAGACATCTTTTGCCTTGTGGCATGAAGCATTAGGGATACAAATTCTTTTTTTGCCCCTTGGGTTGCTTTTCATCATCCACTAATCCACGTACTGTTAAAATGTGTATCTTCTGCAGTTTTAGTACAGAATAATTTGGTGATCACAAACTTGCTTAGAGAATCAAATATCATTTGATTAACAATTAAAGCCTGCTGTTAAGGCCCAGAATAATTGAGTATGTCTGTGCTGCTGTTTCTTGCTGTCACTTTTGAAGGGACAAGGTGGAGCTATTTATTCGTAAAATTGATTCTGGTTTTTCCGTCTTCCGTCTGCAAAGCCTGTGAAAACAGAATGCAACTGTCGTTTGGAAGAAAATGTGCCCCGAAGTGTGTGTGTGTGGGTGCGGTGTGTGTGTGTGTGTGTGTGCGCACGCACTTGTAGGGTGTGTGTGTGTGGTGTGTGTGGTGTGTGTGGTGTTGGGTGTGTGAGTGTGTCTGAACAGCCAGCAGGCAGAGCTGCAGGGAGTCTGGCGTGCATTTGGACTGCATGGTGGAAAGAAAAGACTTAAGAGAGTGCAGGAGAGGAGCAGGGAAAGAGAACACATGCTTTTTCTCTCCCTTCTCATTGCACCTCAGCAGTTTGGGGTAAAATTTAGGGTCAAACTGTGTTCTCAAGTCATCCCAAATAGTCCCTCACTGCAGCCAGAGACTGGGCAAAAGTCTGAGGGTGGCAACAGAACTGCTTCCCTTCAGTTGAGCATGAAGCCCAGAATACCTGTGGGATCACTTTTATGTCTGATTAAGAAACCTCACTGGGTCACTTAGAGCAATTTATGTGGATGTCATAAACATGCCCCACAACGTCTGTGTGGCCCTGCTGCAGCTGAAATTGATGTGGATCTTCTGTCATTTAAATTAAGCAATTATTGATGCTGAGAATGAAAATGTTTACCTCGGGGTGGCTGGCCGGTGATGACCCTGTGGGGATGCGGGGGGAGCACATTGCTGCAGCAGCCCCCAGGCCTGGTGGGCGGAGGCAGCACAGAGCCTGGAAGATTGCCGTTGTCCCCACGAGGACCCACGAGGGGAGCTGCTAGTGATGGAAAGGCGTCTCTTCAGAGCATTGCCAGATGCAGTCTCTTGTCAGGTGTTATCTTTTTGTCTCCGCTCTGTGCTGTGTCTTTGCCCATGTGACAAAGCTGTCACTGTGCACCAAGGGCGAGCATCTTCCTAGCTTCAGGTTTTCTAAGGATCTGAGCAGCCTCATCTAGTTCTCTCCGAGAATTATCATCCTCATTTTGGTACCATTATTTTGTGCTCCAGAATTGACAAGCAGCGATTTCTGTTCATTTTTAGGGTTATCAGAGAAAAGAAGCTGAGCCTCTCTTGGCTTCAGCATTTCTATGCCGTGTTTTTTCTCTCTTGATTTTGTGTATATATTGCTTCTATCTTTACCTTATGATATACTTTTGTTTTTCTCTAAACATGAACGTGTAATCATAGAAGTTATAATACAAAATCTTTTTTGTGTGTGATCTTGAAAAGTAAGGCAAAAAGAACTTTTCTGCTTTTATCATACTACTGTTAAAATTTGGATCTCATCATCAGACCTTATATTTCATGGGACACTAACTCATTGCTACCATTCCAAATGGCAGAACCTGTAAGACTGCTCTTATATTGTAACTTGTGTACCAAAGCAAAAAACTCTGATCCAGGTCACAGATTATTATATTGTAGTCTATTTGTTCTATTTTAATTCTAAAAGAAAAATTATTCACCTTGAGCATAGTCTGCCCTTCCCCACCCCTACTATCTGCTCCCTGCTTTGGTTAGGATGGTTTTTTTTTTTTTTTTCGTCTTTTTCGTGACCGGTAAGGGGATCGCAACCCTTGGCTTGGTGTCACCCGCACCATGCTTAGCCAGTGAGTGCACTGGCCATCCCTATATAGGATCCGAACCCGTGGTGGGAGCGTCGCTGCGCCCTATATAGGATCCGAACCCGTGGTGGGAGAATCGCTGCGCTCCCAGCGCCGCACTCTCCCAAGTGCGCCACGGGGCCAGCCCTGGTTAGGATGGTTTATAAGTCGCTCATAAAGGCTTTGGCTGACTGTGACAGAGGCAGGGCCATGTCTTGTTTGTGTTTTCTCCCCAGAGCCAGGAGAGCTCCTATGTGCTAGGAACATGTTTTATGAGCACATTAGCAGCTGCACCTCGTAGGTAGAGAAATGTAATAAATTGCATAATGGGGCTGTCCAGTTAGCCCAGTTGGTTAGAGCATGATGTAGTAACACCAAGGTCAAGGGTTTGGATCCCCATACAAACCAGCCCCCTCCCCCCATCTAAATAAATAAATAAATAAATAAATAAATGAAATTGCATAACTTGTGTACATTTTCATTATTTCCTCAAATTACCTACAGCTGATATTAGAATGAAAGCAGCCAATTAGATACATTTTTGAAGACAAATGACTTTTAAAAAAATACCAAAAACTGGATATAATTTAAGTCTACAGAGAAAGTTTAATAACTCAATATAATACCTATGTCATAGTATTTTTTAAAAACAGATATTTGTTTCCCCACAAGATGAAAGTGTGAATCAGTAGCCAAACTTGGCCAGTTGTTAAGTGATTTGGAATTGGCAGATGCTCTTGGGAGCTTGGAATGAGATGCATTATTTGATATGCAGTGTACCCTGTGAAGTCTTTTTCTTTAATAGCATTTGAAACACAAATCAGTAAATGCTTTACTGCTTTTTTCTTCTTCTTTAGGGCCAAAGCATGTTGTCGTTAAGTTTGTGGTGAAATTTTTTCCACCTGACCACACACAACTCCAAGAAGAACTCACAAGGTTAGTGGTTTGGAAACTGGGTATTTTTTGCTACAAGGTACAGAGGAAGAGAGAAATTTAATGTTACAAATTGATTAAACATTTTCATAATATTTACTTGACCAGCACCTGTTTCTGTGCTTAACAGTTTAACCGTCCTCTTTCCCAGGTCTACTCACAAAAATGGGGAGAAAGAAAAGTACCATGTTTTTACTAAAGCCTGGTTCCTTTAAGGCTGTGACATGAAGTGAACTGGCCTTTATAACCTGTTAATGTCCTATTGTTCATCTTATGTCTTATTTTCCATCTTATACCTATCATATCATGAGGTGGTTTGGGGAAGTGAATCTCTTCTGTGAAGCCAGGATATTAATTTATCGGAATTTATCTTTGTTGCTGCCATGGATGGGGGGATGTGATATGAACTGTAGGTCTGTTTCTTTAAAAGTGTAGCCAAGTAGAAGAAGTATGAGCCTTGGGTCAGGCCTGGCTTTGGCCATCAGTCTGGCCACTTGCTGGCTGTGTGACCAGTCAGTTACTTGTTCCCTCTGTGCCACTGTTAATTCTGCTTTAATGATGACACTATCATGCTTGCTTGGCCAGAGTTGTTTTGAGGATAAGCACTATTTTACATACAGTAGCTGGAATCCCGTAGGGGCACTGTCATGGGTGTCATCACCAGGGTCATCATTATTGCCACCGCCACCATCACCTCCACCATCACCATCACCGCCACCTCCACCATCACCATCACCACCGCCTCCACCATCACCGCCACCTCCACCATCACCACCATCTCCACCACCACCATCACCATCACCATCTCCACCACCACCACCACCATCTCCACCTCCACCACCACCATCACCATCACCACCACCACGACCTCCACCACCGCCTCCACCATCACCGCCACCTCCACCATCACCATCACTGCCACCTCCACCTCCACCATCACCACCAGCTCCACCACCACCATCACCACCACCATCACCACCACCTCCACCACCACCACCATCACCATCTCCACCACCACCACCACCATCTCCACCACCACCATCTCCACCACCACCACCATCACCACCACCACCACCATCACCACCACCACCATCATGATCATGATCATCACTACTCCTAATCATTTTATAGTTTCAGGCAAGACAAATGGTATTCCAAAAGGGAGCAGAGCTAGCGGGAACACAGGGAGATAAGTACTCCCAGTTCAGGAGTGCTCTATGAGTCCACCAGTCTCACCAGCCACACGTTTCACGTTTGCCTTTTAGGCTATGGCTGTTTATGACCAAAGGCCATCATGTCTTTTCATCTCTCTCGGTACAGAGCACAGTATCTTGAGTTGCTGGCCATCGTTTAGCAAAAGGATGAAGACGTCCGTTTAGCCAGCAGTATTTATTCAGTGTGCAGCGTGTGCAACCATCATTCTAGGCACTGGGAATATAGTGGGGAAAACACAAGTCATGATTCTCATGGAAACAGACAAAATGATCAAATAAACAAGAAAAATATCAGATCGTGGTAAGAGTTCTTTAGGTCATTGAAGTCAGATGATGTGATAGAAAGTGACTGGGTGATGACTTTAGATTGGTGGGTCAGGGGTGCCTCTTGAGGAAGTGATGAGGATCTCTCAGTCATTTTCTGAGGAAGAACCTTCCAGAGAAAAGGAATGGTCGGTACAGTGTCCAACGCAGGAACAAACCCTGCATATCTAAATACTTAAAAGAGGGCCAGTAATGTCGAGGGTGATATGCAGTGAGGTGGGAGAGAGACCTGCTGATACACAGTGTTGAAAGACCAGCCGCCACGTGCTTGCTTGGGGGTTGGAAGAATCCAGTGAGGAAAGCAGTCACAGTACCAGGCCAGCATGATGGCAGCACAGAAAGTGGTGGCGGTGGAAATGGAGAAATGTGGCTGTATTTGGAATATGTCCTGGAGGCAGGGTCCGTCTGTCCTGGTGATGGATTGGAGGTGGAGTCTGAGGACAGCAGAGGGGACGCTTAGATTTTTAACTTGAGTAACTGGGTGGATGATGTTGGTGATTACTAAAATGGGAACGGGGTAGAGGAAAAAGTACTGGGGAGGGGTAGGATGTCAAGGGTTTGGTTCTGGCCAGGTTGCATTTGAGGTACCTATTGGGCATCGTGTGGCTGCCTCAGGAAGACCATTGGATCCACAAATGTGGAGTTCCAGGGAGAGACAAAGACTCTTCCCACTGCTTTACGTCTTCTGAACAGGGTGCCACTAATCGTCTACCTCCACTTACAATCCTCAAATCAGTGAAGTGGCAGGCAGCCAGGAACTGGCAGAAGCCATCAGCCTACTGGGAACTGTACACAATTGAACAGACCACTTAACAGGAGCACCTTCGTGTGGTGTCTTTACTGGGGCCTCGTCTCTCAGTGTCCGGGGCTGGTTTTTCTGTCGTTGGAACATGCATTGCTCTGAGCTCAGTGTATTGAAATAAATCTAATGGCGAGTCCAGCTGTTGGCCAGCAGGGTGCCTTTTCCTGCTGTGAGTCACTGGGCCTCTTTCCTGCTTAGAAAGTTGGAAGCATAAATCTTTCCTTTCTCCACTGAAAATTCTACATTGCAAATAGTTTTGCACCTTTTCAGTTTCTCTAAGTCATTGTCTCAAGAGGTTTGGAGTTTTCTACCATTCTGGTCCTTGTTATTGGACTCCATTTATCCTGTTCTCATTAAGCCAAATGTGCCTGGTGCTTTGCTGCTTCTCTGTCCGTGCCGATAAATTCCTAAAGTTACACAAGCTCAGCTGGCCCTAGCAGGTTTTGTTTTTGTTGTTTTTGTTTTCTGGCTCCCAGGATGAACTGGTGTCTTAGAAATCTTTTCCAAGAAGAGAATTCTTTTGGCTTAACGTTGAATAAAACTGATCTGAAATTTCTTTCTTTTTTTTTTTTCCCATTCTTTTATTGCTGTAAAACACTATTATAACATAGGATTGCGGTTTTTAGCATTTTTAAATGTACATTTGTGTGGAATTCATTACATTCACAATGCTGTGCAACCACCCGCCTCCATCTATTTCCAAAACTTTTTTGTCATCCTGAACATAAACCCTGTACCCAGTAAGCAACAACTCATTATTCCTTCTCCCCCATTTCTGGTAACCTCTGACCTGCTTCTGTCTCTGAAATTTTTTTTCCTTTTTCATTTATTTTTTCTTAATTGACCCATGACAATTGTATACGTTTATGGAGTACAATATGATATCTGGGTACATTTATACGGTGTGCAGTGATCATATCAGTGTATTTAGTGTTATCTATCACCTCAAACGTTTGTCACTGCTTTATGTTGGGAATATTCAGTCCTCTCAACTAGCTACTTGAAGGTATACAGTATTTTTGTTGTCTGTAGTCTCCATGTATTGCTATAGAACACTAGATCTCATTCTTCCTGTCTCTCTACAATTTTGTGTCTCGGTCTGAAATTTCTATCGTATTCGCCGACTCCCCTCGCTGTGCACTTTGGATAAGATGTAATAGCTAGGGCACCTTGGAGATCCAAGGTGTTGAGACTCCCACATTCTCAAATTCCTGTATAAGCGACATGCAATGATGAGACCTTTGAGATTTCAGGCACTTTTCTCTGACGGATGGTGAGAGTGTCGGGAAAAGCTTGATGTCACTGGTAATCTTGGGCGGGGACATGTAGACAAGGGTGGGACAGACAGAAACTGGCCTGCAGCTTAGCAGAGTATGTTACCCTAGCTCTGTAGTTCAGTCTTTGGGCCTCCAGGAATAGCTTTCAGCTTCCCATTTGTATACGTACAAGATGAAATTGCACTTTGCTGTTAGACAAGAAGCTGAATTCCTTTCTATTTATTGAACTGCACATTCAGTGGAACCCCGTCCTATTGACCCCAGCACCCAGGCGTCTAGAAGGAGACATGGACAGGCTGGTAGGTGCAGGTTGAAAACAGCAAGCTCGAGGGGGCTCTGGAGAAGTTTCTGGTTTCCTTACTGCCAAGCTCAGAGTCCCTTTCCTTGTGCTGAGGGGCTCAGCCACCCTGCGCTCTCCCACTTCCGATTTCTACTTGGCTGTGTTCTTTTTAGAAGTGCAGGGTATCCTATCAGAATCAGGCTGCTCTTTATGGCCTACTGAAATGTTTTCTTAGACTGGCAGAGAAATTGTAAATTACTTACATGTAATAAGAAAAAAGAGAAGATGGAGAACTTCCAAATGAAATAAGTCAAAAGGGACATGTTGAGAGCAAGCCGGGCGTGGGCTGGGTGTGGAGCGTAATGCCTGCAGACCCACAAGCAAAGCCCCTCTGCGCGGTGCAGCCACCGTCATTGCCACCCTCTCCCAGGGAGAGGTGGCTCCATTTGTGCACTTTGTGTTTTCATCGTGTTTACCCTTTTAATTTTATTTAGTGCCTGCCAAGTACAACTTAGCCTGTAGCTCCTGTGAGTGTGGTTGGAATTGCTTCCATTTATAGTACTAGAGGTGTTGCTGAATCTCTAAAGCTAGTGTGGCAGGCAGTACGCTCAGCTTACGCCTCGTGTCGGAAAGAAAAGGCGACAGTCAGTACCCAGGAAGCTGTTGCTTGTATTACAAGGCCTTGGAACAGGAAGAGTCAGCATAATTGGGGGTGACAATTCCTTCACTCTTCAAAAGGGCCTAAGCCCTCCAAATAAATGGGTGCTTTCAGAACCTAATGCAGCCCATGCAAGATCATCCCCAAAGGCTGCCATGCCTGTGGACCGTGACCATGAGTCTGTATCCCTGAACACTTCTTTGTGAACACAAGACCCTATGTTTGAACTGTTAAATGGTAAAATATGCAGAATGTAATTCTTTTAAAATATGAAGCCCTCCTGCTGGCTTAAAAAATTTACCACAGAGATTATAATTAAAGTCTGAAGCTCTGCTAAGTGTTGAGCTCAAAGACAGTAATCGCTGCCTAATCCAGAAAGATCCCATGCACTACCTCTTCCCGTATGAACCTGTATGTTGATGTTTAGATTGTTTTTTATGCTCTGCTTTTGTTCCCTCTGACTTTGTAGAGAAAGAAAAAGCTGGGTGGGGCAGGGGGGCAGGGGACGGGGACAAGAATAGTCATTAGGGAGTTCAGATGAAGGTCAACTGGTGTACCTATAGGGGTCTTTTTTTGTTGGTTACACAGTTGCTGCTGAGGTTTTCAGTTCTTAGTAATGGAACTTCCTAAATGACTTAAAAGAGAAGAGTTATTCTTTTTTTTTTTTTTTTGTCTTTTTTCCGTGTCCGGCAACGGATTGCAACCCTCAGTGTTGCCCCCGTACCGGACCCGGGACCGGCAACGGGATCGCAACCCTCGGTGTTGCTCCTGCGCCTCGCTCAGCCAGTGAGCGGGAACCGGTCTGTATGTGGGATCCGAACCCTCGGGCGGGAGCGCCGCCGCGCTTCCCAAGCAGTGCACTTATCCAGTGCGCCACCGGGCCGGCCTGAGTTATTCTTTAATAAAAAAAAATTTGCTAACATTTATTGAATGTTTTTTGTTAAATCACTCTTTTCCCTGTATTATCTCATTTAATTCATATGGACTCTTGTGGTTGATATTGTTAAAGGCATTTTGAACATTAAAAATAACCTTTTGTTATTACAAAACTAGTAAATATACATTGTAGGAAGTTAGAATATACAAATAAATAAGACTAAGAAAGTAAAAATACTGTATTCCTGTTGCCCATCACATAAGTGTGACATCTTCCCTGATTTTTTTTAGTGCACATATATGTACTTCTCCTCACATCTAATAACTTGGCCATACTCACATTTCCCTAGTTGTCCCCCATCTGTCATCTTTATCTGCTCATTCTAAAACAACATGCACTCTAGGGCCACATTTCGCATCTGGTTATGTGTCCTCTGGGCCTCTTTTGACCTAGCATAGCCTCTCATTTTTTTTTCCTTCATCATACCGTCATGTTGAAATTGGAGCAGTGGTACTACAAAGTATCCTCCCTCCTGAATTTGTTGGATTGCTTCCTTGTGGTGCTGTTTAGCTTGTTCTTTTATCCTTTGTGTTTTCCTGAAAACTGGAAATTTGTTCTAAAGGCTCAATGGATACAGTTAAGCATTTTTGGCTAGAATCCATTGTAAGCAATGTTGTGCGCTTCAGATTTCATTTATGATGCTAAGATTGTTCACTGGATAAAGGTGCTGACATTCTGATTTTTCCATTGTGAAGTAAAGTTGTGTGACTTTGGCCCTGGGTGACTGTCCAATCTCCTAAATGGTTTCTACACCAATTGACAGTCCTTGCTAGAGTCGATAATTTATTTAGAGGTCGTGGAACAAGGATTTTCTAATTCTGTTATTCCTACTCTGTTATAAGTTGGCATTTCCTGTAAAGTAGAACCTGGTCTCATCCTCTGGGCTGTCCGACTGTCCTGAAATACGCTTCGTACGGGACAGGCACGTTACATGTAAGCTCATTTCTTTGTGTTGGGTTACTGATGTTTGACTAAGACATTGTTTTAATAGCTGTCTCAAAATGGTGATACATTTAATTTTTCCTGCTTTTTCTTTTTTTAAGAAAAAAGAGACTCATGAATTTTCATTAATTCACTGTGTTTTCATTCACTTGAATTATTCTTTTTTCTATTCAAATTGTCACGACTTTGGCCAGCAGAGGCCCCTTCATGATCTTTTTTTTAGCTCTTTTGGTACAACTCATTTATTTTTGAAGGTGGCCTTCCTTTCTGGTATAACCAGAAATTTTAGGCTTACCTGGTTCCCTTACCTACCCCAAACCTGGCACCTACCATTTCTCCAGGGACCTACCTCTGTGTTCTTCCAATGGGTAATTGTATGAGGGACAGAATCTGATTGCTAACGGTTGCCACCAAGGAGGCACTTTCCAGGCAGTGGGCAAAACCAGTAAATGCACTTCTAAAAATGTGTGAGTTCATATCAGTATTTTCAAATCCATTTTGACATGGCACAGTTTTTACTTAATTTATTTGATTTACAAATATTTTTTTTCTCTTACATCAAGAACGTTGACTTGCTTTATCCCATAATATAAAGAAAATAATTTTAAAATAACTTACATTGATTTTTACAGATCTGGTGACCAAGGCTTATGGAAGTAGCTAAGTGAATATTACGCCACAAAAAAAGACACCCTCATCTTTCCAATTTCATTGGCAAAGCTCTTACTAACCATAATAAATTGCTGTTATTGTCTGAGCCATAAAGCCATGCTCGAGTATGTTTGATCCTGTGAAAATTTTTCAAATGTTTCTTATATGCTGCAAAAACATAGGGTGGTAGGTTATAGTTTTACATGTTTATGGCTTTATCTCTCCATATAAAATGAAACGTATTACTCATGTGAAAAGATTGTAGTATGTGTCTCCTGGTTCTTTGCCTTTTAGGGCGGTGGATATTTACACTGCAGTAAATGGCAACAGAGATTCCTTCTAGCCTATACAGACTTTCTTGTTCCTTGGTTTCAGATACCTTTCCTTAGTTTCTCATGGTGGTACAGGTGATCAGGAGTGAGCCCACCTTTGCTGCTGACCCTCCTGCTCTCTTTGCATGACGCCCATCTCTGTTTATCTTGCAGGTACCTATTTGCTCTGCAGGTGAAGCAGGACTTGGCTCGAGGCAGGTTGACGTGTAACGACACCAGCGCTGCTCTCTTGATCTCACATATTGTACAATGTAAGTCGTGTTGGTTTCCTTGAAAATCATGTTGGAAAGAACATAGTAACAGGATCGATGGGGAAAAAGATCTCATCCACAAAAAATAATAATGTCTTTGTGTTGTTTTTGCTATTAGCATGAAGGACTATGAGTAGAAGAGAAAACAGTCATCCTAACGTTATTTAATATGCACATCCCCAAACATTAACCCACAAATTCTGTGTTCTGGTCTTTGTCCACTTTTTTCAAGGACTGGTATGGAATGGTTGATATCTCAGTTGTCTCAAAGAGAAGCCTGGATGGATAGTGGCTAATAGACTAAAGTTTTTCTGTCCTGTTCTTGGATCTTCATCATTGAATATGGTACATTAGCCTTAAGACATAAAACTGCCACAGATGTCACTTCTCTCTAGAGTTTTTTGCTCTTTGGTTCAGTAAGCCATGAATTTGGGTTCATGAATCTACACTTAATCCTAGCGATGGTTGAAACTAGGTATTTTTACTTGTGTTAATCTAGACGAAGGATACATTAGATTGTGGTCATTACAAGCCTGGCTGACAACCCACCTGGGCATTTTTCCCTCTCAACTAAGGCAGAAGTTACTTGAAATGGAATGTACACGTTATGCTTCAGGAAGGTAATTATGTGTATAGACCAAGGTCAATGTGGATGAGCACTAGTATTTTTTTTTTTTTCCTTTTTGTCTTTTTCCGTGTCCGGCAACGGATCGCAACCCTCAGTGTCGCGCCCGTACCGGACCAGGACCGGCAACGGGATTGCAACCCTCGGTGTTGGGCCCGCACCTCGCTCAGCCAGTGAGCGGGAACCGGTCTGTATGTGGGATCTGAACCCTTGGCGGAAGCGCCACCTCGCTCCCAAGCGGCGCACTGTAGCAGTGCGCCACCGGGCCAGCCCATGAGCACTAGTATTTAAAAAAAAAAAAAAAAAAAAGTTTGTATTATAACACCAAGGTCAGGGGTTTGGATTCCTATACTGCCCAGCTGCCAAAAATAAATAAATAAATGATAAAAGTAATTTTTTGAAAAGTTGTGCTATCACATCATCTTTTTCCACTGTGTGCAAAGTAGTCCTATATAATCATCCGCATCCCATTCTGAGAACTGCCCAGTTAACAAGATTTCCAAAGGTTTGTAAGAAGCGTCACTCCTAGTAAACTAATTGCCTTAACCTAAAACAGTGAGGTGTTTCAATAGACGGTGCTTATCTTATTTTTTAAATGAGAATTACTAGATGTCTACTAGACTTAGGAGATAGATTTTTTTTGTCAACTTAAAAAAATGATGTGAGAAAGAAAAAAACGAAAGTTAGCCTTTATGAAGCCTTACTATGTGCCGGCTCTGTGTATGTTATCTAATTCTCATAACAGCCCCCTGTGATCAGTACTAGTGTTATCCTCGTTTTTACAGATGAGGGAGCTTTGGCACAGAAAGTTATGTAATTTTTGCCTTTTCTGTGTAAAATCTTCGCTCTTCATACAATGATAGTGGAGAGAGAAAGGAAGGCTTTGAATGAGGCAGACCTGACTTCTGTGTGTTGTGAATGACCCTGGCAGGTTACTAACCCCCCAACCTCCATTTCCTTCAGAACACGAGACTCACAAAGTCTCTTTCATAAGGCTGTGAAAATTAAACAATAGCATAAACGCCTAGTACAAGTTGGGTGTTCAGTAAACATTACTTTTCTTTCTTTATCCTCCCTCAACTGCAGTCTTCCCTTTCCAAAGGAGGTAAAAATTTTAAATGAAATCTCCTTATTGGAGTAGTAACTTCATAAAATGTCAATGACCCTGGGCTTTTTGCAGGAGAGAAATTTACCTTACTCGAAGATTCCCGATGCCCTTGAGTCCCGTACCTCTTTCCTCCTGTTTCTTTCTTCTAAGTCTGTTACACTGAGAGTAGATTTTAAGTGTTCTCACCACCGAAAGATAAGTATGGGAGGTAATGCATGTGTTACTTAGCCAGTTGAACCATTCCATGGTGTACAGGATACCATGTTGTACACCATAAATCTATATAATTTTTATTTTGTCAGTTAAAAAAAATTAATTAAAAAAAATAATAATCTGTTATGACAGTGAATCTCACTCACACATCTGGGAAGTGGAGATTCAGTGACATCCAGAAAACCATGGTCTCTGTCTGATACACCACTCTTCCCCAGACACCAACAGGTGACTCAGAATCCCCCAGGAATCTTGAGTTCTCCAGAGAAAATTAAACAGATGGGTTGCGAAGTACTCCTGCTAACTGCATAGTATTTGATGTGCAGTCATGAGACGCATTATATTGTTATAATCTTCTGATATTTATGAAACCCCTTTTCTGCATTTTTAAGCATCCCATGCACTCAGTCACGAAAGGAGGAATTTCACAGAGTCCTCTGTTAATTGTGTCTTGAGTTCAATTACTGATAATTATTGGCGTTATCGGTAAGGTGCAAGGGGTCAGCTCATCTCCTTTTTGCAGAAAATATATTTGTGCGGATGGAAAATGATCTCTGGGAAGCTGGGTGTTCATCTCATCTGTATCTGTACACACAGTCTGAGGTCTTTATCTTCCTCCCTTTCATTTAAATACATGGAGTCTTTCAGATAGTCTGTATTTTTTCATTAGCTTTTCCATCACTGGCTTTATATCTCCCTTATAGTATTTCAAACATTTAATTTTCTCTAATTTATTATGAATCAACTAAGTAGGACAAGCTGATGAAGAGGTGAATCGGACACTAGTTGGCCTGATGGAAAACAGCCCTTGGGTAGTGCGGAGATGTGGCAGGGCTGCACTTCTGCAGGCTGCGTGTGTCCCTGCCCTGAGGATTCTGCATGGCAAAATGGGTTTGTCCTAGCGTGTCCTGCACAGAAGTCTTATTCATTTATGGAAACTGCAGGATTTGGGTTTGTTGTTGTCGTTCCTGTTATTTGCTGTGAGGAGACTACGAAGGAATGTAGCATATGCACACTGATGGAACATCTGTGGCATAAAACGTTAAGTTGTATCTTGAATATATGTCAGTTCTCAAACTCTCAAAACATAAGGTGGACCCTACTTTGTATGTATTTCAAAGAAAGAGTGAGTTTGATAGTCATATATTGCCACTGCGTTGGAGAAGGGCAATGAAACGTAAGTAGTTCAGAGGAAGAATAATGAGGTGTGTTAAGCGCCAATGCCAAAGGAAAACGCGGAGCCCTTAATTCTTTTTTATTGAATTATGGAGGAGTGTGTTATATGATCCATAGGAGTCAAGAAGCCCAGACTTAAAGTTCACAAAAAATTTGGTACTTAGATGAGTCCCTCATATCAAGTCAATCCTTGCAAATTTGCCTGCACACTAAAATTTGTAACCCCCAGATCAGTACTTGTGACACTTTCACGGTCATTTGCCAATGTGCCCAAGACAGTGAAAAACGAGTCTCCCGAAGCACACGCTCCCCGCTGAGGCTGAACAAGGCAACATTCTGCCTTCTTGTTTCAGATCTCACACTGTCAACACGTGTCCTCTTCACGGTCTGTTTAGTGCCAAGCTTTTGGAATATTTTGTGCTTATTGTTGGTGGTTTCACTGTTTAAAATGGCCCCCAAGTGTAGTGCTGACATGCTGTCTAGTGTCCCTAACCACAGTGCCATGTGCCTTATGAAAACGATGTGTGTGTTAGATAAGCTTCGTTCAAGCGTGAGTTCTGCGGTTGGCCGTGACTTTGAATGAATCAACAGTGTATATCAAATGGGATGTCTTTCAGCAGAAACACACACAAAACAAGGTTAACCAAAGCATTGTTTGAAGAGTTGTGCAGGAACCTAACCCTGCATTCCCCCTAGGAGAAATGGTTCAGTAATTGCTACTTCAGTGTTCACAGGGCCTTTGTAGATCCTAATTACCTTGAATCACGAGAATCACCTGTACTTTCTGGAGACCAGGTAGAAGGAACTGCAGAAAAGTCAAGACCACCGTTGTTAAGGCAGCTGGCAATGATGGCAGTATGGCCAGAGATGTCCCCCATTTCTGTGAAGGAAGGTGGTGATTGAACTTTATTCAGGGAAGGTGAATTTAGTCCAGAAAAGGCAATTTGGAGATAGCGTTACTGGTCTATCACAGCAGGAGGAAGCTAGTGAGTGATTGACTCTTCCGGTGGCCCAGCTGTTGCCAGGTGAGTGGGCACTGTTGGGTGTAGAGCAGGTATTCTCGGTGGGTGTGATTTATGGCAACAGATAGGCCGTATTCTTCTTGATTATTGGAGGTACCCTGCCCAAAGTGTGACAAGCTGCTTCACATGACAAAATGGAGGGTAGGTTTCCTAGCAACCACTCTCTTGCTTTTCATCAAAACAGCTGGGTTCTGATCATTAGGCTACTTTGTATTAAGCTCATTACACAGAATATGTGATTCATAAAAAAAGGCATGCTGTCCCAGAAGTGTTACAATTGGTATAAACTGAGCTCGAGGTGGTGTTGTTAAGCTATGGTACAATTATGATTTTAAAGCTCTACCCTTTAAATTTCTACATTACAGCAATTTTGAGGACTATGTTGACGTTACATGAGACAGTGCAACATGATTCTTGTAGATGAAAGTTTATAAGACTTTGCAATCTGGCCTGTTATTTCTGACAACAGGACTGTAAGAACTTTAATAAACTTTAAATTTGTTTTTAAAACATTAGATTATCTACGTTTACACCCATTTACAATCCTCTTTTCTTTATATGATAAAGCATTGGATTTTGCACTGATAATCGTTATATATAACTTTCAAAACTTCGTTTTGTAAAGTCCTGAAATTCCAGGGCCTGTCTCGAGGTCACACAATCATCATCCATGTGTATAGGACTTACTGCTGGGAACAGAAGTGACCCCCAGGTGGGTGGGGAGGAAAAAAAGAAATCAGGAACACGTACAGCTAAAGATGGATGATTCTGAAGTTCTCTTTCCAACCATTAGAGATGAAGAGGAGTGGAAACCCTCTTCTTATGTTGCCCGACTGTTAAACATCCCCGCCTCTGACATCTAGCCCTCAGGCTATTCCCCACCAGCTGGGCACACCTTGTCTTCCACCAGCTTCCGGTTTGCTCCCTGGAGAATGTAACAAATGGTGAAGTGTTATCAATCCTGTGTGGCCTATTTTTCGTCCTCTGTTTCCTTTTAGCTGAGATTGGGGATTTTGATGAAGCATTGGACAGAGAGCACTTAGCAAAAAATAAGTACATACCTCAGCAAGATGCACTAGAAGACAAAATCGTGGAATTTCACCATAACCACATGTAAGTCTCATGCATGGCTTCATGTTTCCTTTGAGCTGTTTCTCTCTACCTCCCGACATACATGGGTGTACGAACACACACAGACTATTGCGAAGAAATACACACAGGGTGACGGAAGGACACAGAGGCTCCCTGGGGTGCCGTGACTCATCCTGGGCTCTCAGAAATGCAGGTTACCCAGCTTTGCTTCCCTCCTGTGAGACTAGAGTAAGCCTGGAATTTTAGGGTGCCCCATTGTTAGCAATAAGAGGGAGAGTTTAAAACAAAGGACCATCCAGTTAACTTCTTAACAGGAAATGGGGAAAAGGACATGGTACACTAGGACAAAGTAAGAGCATTGTGAAAATCTAGAACCTTTGTAGCATCTCCATTTTCGTTTTGATCAGTAGGACATTTTCAAAGGATTCTCTGTGCTTTTTGCTGTTGTTTTAAGGAAGGCATTTGAGCCTGGTGTCAGTGTGAGAGTGTTCCTTGACCTTTTTGCAAGTTTAGGTTATTGTAAGTGACTAAAAACTTGTTTGAACACAGTGGTGTTTTGCTTTTATATGACCTTAAAGGAAACTCTTTGAGTTTCAAAAAAACTGGCCAAGTTTGGGACAGACTTTTTAAGGTTTTGTGTTACATGAGCAACAGAGCTTTTGTCCTAGCTGCTAGACTTTGGGTTATAATGAATGGGAGGTTGGCTGTCATCTGATCGGGGAGCCCCACTGTTTGTGATGAAATGCCTTTTTATTTCCCAGGAGAAAGCTGCCTGATCTCAAATTGATAGACACAGGGGATTCAAATCTCCTGGACTTTCTCTTTAATTTTTGTTTTGTCAGTGGACAAACACCAGCAGAATCAGATTTCCAGCTCCTGGAGATTGCCCGTCGGCTGGAGATGTATGGAATCCGGTTGCACCCGGCCAAGGACAGGGAAGGCACCAAGATCAATCTGGCCGTTGCCAACACGGGAATTCTAGTGTTTCAGGTGAGAGCGTTTAGAATGCAGCTTAGTTCCCTTGGCGGGGTAGAGAGGAGAGTTGGTCCTTCAGCGCTGATTCATGTTGGGTGGGCTGAGTTAAGACCTCAGATACCTCAGATAATTTTTAGGGGAACAAGGAAAAACCAACTTCATCAAAGGATTTCTGTTTTCCAGGCCTTGAACTTCCAGATTCTATTTCATTCCTCCTTGCCTTGCTTGGGGAATCCATATCACAGATTTGTTTGGGTTTATTGACTTTATGGGATCACAGAAAGCTTTACCTATCAGTGGACCTGTGCTTAAAATATAGTATGGAGGCAAGATCCAGACCCCACAATAAACACCTTTTTCACACTTGTAGATGATATTTTGCTATAATGCAATCCTTTTTTTTTTTTATAACCCAAGTTGGGTTGAGCCAGCTTATTTGGAACCTCAGATATACCTAAGTTAAAAAGAAAAGTGTAATGCATACTTTTAAGATATAGCAGTTTTATACATCATAAAAGCTATATTCTGGCACTGGGGTAATTTTGCAAGAAAGCACACAGCACTTAAATTCTTACCTGTATTTTACTTAAGGACATAATGATTGTCTGCACCTAAAATGTGTGTTCTTTCGATCACCCTGCTATTGGATTGTTTTATAGATCAGTACTTCTCTGTTTTTCTTCAAAGCTTCGTTGAAGGATTATTGACATACAATAGAATGCATATATTTAAAGAGCCTGGTTTGATAGGTTCTTATAAAGTGTATATATATAGTGAAACCATCAGCGAAATCAGGATAATGAACATACGCACCATCCCCAAAAGTTTCCTCAATACATTTCTTTTAAGCACAAGCAGGAAACCTGTGCTTTAGTTTCAAATGGATATAAAGAAAGCATCTGCCTTTCTCATGAATTGGTCAAATTTCACCCAGATTTGAAGTTGCAAATATGTGCATGACCTGAAGTGTACTTCCCTGAGTTCTGCCAGATCCGCTTATTTCCCCTTTCGTGTTTTATTACAAGAGTCTCAGTGATTCTTTGTTCATGCGTCAGATGTTTATGACACTCATTACTCGTTACAGAATCACACCCCAGGAAGAGTCAGAGCTGGGTGTCAGATCGCATAGTAGGGAGTGCCATTTTGAGAGTGGTGTGGCATGTGAGGAGGTGACCACTCCTGTTAGTGTTTCACCTGCTCTCCTGCTCTCTAGTACCTGATAAGAACAACATTAAAACCAAACATCGTTGTCAGTACTACCATTAAATTTCAAAATCACAACCCTGAAACATTTCTAAAAATCATAAAGGGGGGAAAGATGTTTCTTACAATTGAATTAATTTGCTTTGGTTGTGCTAGATATCGAGTGTAGATATCGAGAATTGCTCGGTCCCTTAAGCGTGTGCAAAGGCTGTATCTTGGACTTCAGCTTGCCAGTGCCTGGTTGCTTCATTCTTACCTCTCTGAGTTAGTGGGCCTGGTCTTCAAGAGGCTCCAGAGGAATCCTAATGTTGGTTGAGACGGGGCTGGTGGAGTTGGTATCTGAAAACTCTGTTTTCTCTACCACGCCCCTCCTGCCCACCCCTCAGCTGCCAAAGACGATTAGGACACGTGTGTCCCACCGGGAGACACAGCAGGCCCGGCCTCCTTCCTCCGTCCTACCGGGGCTGTTGGAAGCATGACGAGCACAGGAGGCAGGCCAGTGTGGACGAGGCGTGGCTTGCTAACCTGCTGTGGATTCACAGTCGCTGCTGGTCAAGGCACGTGCTCGGGAATCAGTTCCTGCCTCATTAAATGTGTGATTTGGGGCAAATTAAAATACATCCATTTTGCAGTTTCCATGTCTGTGAAATGAAGATAATAAATCCGTCTCACTGGGTTTTGTGTAAGGTTTGATAGGATAAGGTGTATAAAGCCCTTAGGACAGTGCCTGGCACCCCTGATGATGGCTGCTAATTATTGTGGTGGTTGTCATGGTTTCATTTTTATTTATCTTTCTTTTTATCATTACTTTGACCAGCTTCTTCTCTCCCTAGAGGCAGACTTAGTTTGAATGCCAAATCATATAATTAGTGAGAAATACTGATCCGGGCAGGGAGCCCATCGATAGCCATGGATCCTGTGAATTCTCCCGCAAAAGGCAACCTCACGGAGCGATCGAATGGCTGCCTCCTGCCTTCGGCTCCCAGAAGCAAAGCAGACCAGCTCCCATGTTGCTCGTTATGCATTCCTGGCTCACTGGCTGCTGTCTTTCTTTGCAGGGTTTCACTAAGATCAATGCCTTCAACTGGGCCAAGGTGCGGAAGCTGAGCTTCAAGAGGAAGCGCTTTCTCATCAAGCTCCGCCCTGATGCAAATGTAAGTGACTCAAGGGGATAGGGGACAGCTGCACCACTGTTGGTGGAGTGTGCCCTGCTAGGGGTTGAGGTCTGCACTCAGCAGGGTTACCCTGAGAGGTGCTTCTGTAAGAATGAACACGGAGAGTCTATACGGACAGCTATGTCCAAATGCATGGTAACTCCTCAGCTGTCACAGGATATGCACAGGTGTGCACCTGGGGAGAGGGCCACTTCCCTGTACAACAGGCAGCCCCTCCCAACAAACAACCTGAGCTATGCTGCTGCTGTGTGTCCAGCCCCTGGCCCCACCTGGAGACCCCATTCAGTGTTCTGCTGTCCTCTAAGCACACCCGGACCACCCAGAAGCTGTTCCCCACTCTCCAGTCCCTTGTGTTTGCTGCAAACCTCTAACAGAGCTCATTCTCGCTGGCCAGCCAGGTCCTCCAACTACTTCCCACGGAGCCCCTAACCATGTGGCTCATACTGGCACTGGGTCAGGGAAGGGAAGAGCATCTTCATTTGCCAGAAACGGCAGTGGAGGAGGTGGTGGACACACCCTGGTGTCTGTCCCCAACCACAGCGTAGAGGCCTTTTTCCCATGGGAAAAAAACATGATAAATGGCTGTCTAAGCTTATGGTTTAGCTTTCATGCCTGACCTGGGAAGCTTACACCCACTGTAAATGGCTTTCTATGGGAAAATGCATTTTGAGTTGCAAAAAGCCGACTTACAAATGAAGAACCACAGCATGAGTTGTCTGTAAGTTGGGTCTGCCCAGAACTGCGCAATCCCCCCATGCAGTCACAACTGCCGGCAGTGCAGAGGACCTTGGTTACTTTTGTTTGCATGTTATGGCCGCTCAACTAAGAGCATTCAAGGTAGGAGTAGAAAATTATATCCCATTTCCAGAATCAAAGGACATGAATTTTTCAGCTAGCAGTAATACTTTTATGCTCCAGAAAACAAATTTCATTTCCTGTAGAGTTTCCGGGGCCCCTAGAGGCTGGAGCCATATGCTGTTTTATGGAGAAATGACTTCGAAGTCAAAGTTGACATGAACCATGAGGAAGAAAACAGAAAGAAGACTTGGGTTTTGTTTATATTAAGGAGGCAAAAAAGGAATTTTAGTACTTGGATTTTTTTTTTTATGGAAATGTAAGCCAAGTAAACATAACTTGTTTATAGATTCTGTCAAAGAAATGTTATCTCTTCCACTAAATCTGTACCACTGTTTTCTGTTAGTTCCTCTAAGGAATTCTATGGAGAAGGAAATGATTGAATAGTGACTGTCTTATCATCAGGAATAACTATATATTACTAAATCTCTGAATTTATGGTCTCACTATAATAAAATACACAATTGCAGTTTTATTGGACAAATTCATTTTCTGCTCCTTTTTCACATTGTTACAGAATGTCTGTAGGTAATGGGAAAAGCCAAAGTTGTGTTTTTTCTTTTTAGAGCTCGTACCAGGACACGCTGGAATTCCTGATGGCCAGTCGGGATTTTTGCAAGTCCTTCTGGAAAATCTGCGTTGAACATCATGCCTTTTTTAGACTTTTTGAAGAGCCCAAACCAAAGCCCAAGCCCGTTCTCTTCAGTCGAGGCTCGTCGTTCCGGTTCAGGTAAGGTTACCATTTCACACCGACTGCCCCGTGAACGTTTTTCCTGGGACTTTTCTTTTCCTGCTCCCTGTCCCAGCTGCTGTGATGTCCAGCAGGTGGATAAGGTGAACGTGCATTGGCCTCCGGGAGCTGTGGCCGAGGGAGGTGCTTGCTTGGGAATCCCAGCCGGCTCTTGGAGTCATCCCTGCTGGCTTCAGTTTTGATGTTAGAGAACAGCCAGGCAATCTGCCCAGCCACAGCAAACTCCTAACAGATCCTCTAATTCAGAAAGGATTTGCTTTCTCTGTGGAAGCAAAAGCACTTTATTAACACTTGGTGGTGCTTTGTAGAATGATACGTAGATTTGCCCATCACTGGGTCACTTTTCCATTCATTTTTTAACCAATATTCGAGTATCTCCTGTGTGTCAAATATTGTTCTAGGGATCGGGGGTCTGACAGTGAACCAAATTATCCCTGCCTCCATGAAAGGCACGGACTCTTGGGATGGTTGCTTAATAACCAAACACACAATTATTAAGTGGATTTAGTTCATTGAATGCTTTATCTGTGCAAAAGGAGATGTCAAGAGTGTATGGACACAAAAACACAGATTCTCTTAGGAGGGCTTTGATTCCCGACTAGCCGAGAAAGCCTGCGTACCTCCCATTTATGGAAGGAGCGGGGTAAAGACGTGAAGGCTTTTTTATGCATTTACACGAGAATGTCTTTTGTTGGTCTCCGTTTTAGCGGTCGGACTCAGAAGCAGGTTCTTGACTATGTGAAGGAGGGAGGACATAAGAAGGTGCAGTTTGAAAGGTAAGAGAAGCTTCAACGCTGTTTCCAGTCGGGACGACTCCTGCTCTCTGGGTAACAGGTGTTTGCTGCTAAGTATTTCTTTCCCCAGGCTCGGTGTCCAGCGGGTTGTGAATCACTGCTGCACAGTCAGCCTCAGCAGGGTTAGTGTTAGACAGGAACATTTTAGGACCCGGGAACACACACTCAAGAATGAGATGAGGCGAGAGGAGAGAACCAGGGAGGGAGAGGAGGTCGCTGACAGAGGGCGAGGAGAGAAGACAGGAGATGGCAGTGGGGATAAAGCGTGATGAAAGGTCACTTATCCATGAGTCCTTAAATACTTGGGGATTTGAATTGGAAGGATTTTTAATTAAATGAAGTTTAGGTGAGAAGAAACTGGATTTATTACCGTTATTGTTGTTGTTAGCAAATGCCTAGAGATCTTCGCATGTGCCGGGCCCTGTTCCACGTGCTTGACACGTGTCGGCTCAGTGAGTCTCACACCAGCTCTGGGAAGTCGGTAGCTTTCATTCCCTTCTGAAAGATGGACACACTGAAGCTCTAAGAGTTAAGTCGCCCAGGTCCCACCGCTGGTAGGTGGCCCCTGGCCAGCCAACTCCAGCGCCCTTCAGGACTACTACACTGTCCAGAGGGAGCAGCAGAACCCAAAAGGGACAAAGATGAAGGGCACAGGGGCAAAGGGATGGGCCCAAGCACTGTTTAGTGCCTGTGGGGTTTGTTTTTTTTAACTTTTTTTCTTTTTTCATTTTCACTTAAAAATTACAATAAAGTACAGAGAAGACAACAAACCTCATATTTCTACTAAGAATTAACAGCTCTTAACGTTTTGACATGCAAGGTTTTGACATACATGATTTATGATGGTTCGACTTACTATTTTTCAACTTTACGATGGGTTTATTAGGACATAACCCCACCATAAATCAAGGAGCATCTGGATTTATGATTGTTCAACTTAAGATATTTTGACTTTATGATGGGTTTATTGGGATATTAAGTGCGATTTTGACTTAGAATATTTTCGACTTAACGATGGGTTTATAGGGACATAAACCATCATTATGTCAAGGAGCGTCCGTCATTGTTTGTTTTTTTCTTTTTCTTTTATTTGTAGCTGTTATTGTTACAGACATAGCTAAAGCCCCCTTGAGCCACAGCCCATTAATTCCCTTCTTCCCTCCCCAGAGGCAGCTGCCAGATTCATGCCCCTTCTTGTACACGTATTCATGCATTCAAAAAGAATATGTGGGATTGCTCTGGGTGAGGGCTGTTTAATTTACATACGGACTCTCATACTGTACATAATTCTGCATCTTGCTTTTTTTTTTTTTTTTTCCTTTTTGTCTTTTTTCGTGACCGGCAACGGATCGCAACCCTCAGTGTCGCACCCGTACCGGACCTGGACCGGCAACGGGATCGCAACCCTCGGTGTTGCTCCCGCACCTCGCTCAGCCAGTGAGCGGCCGGTCTGTATGTGGGATCCGAACCCTCGGTGGAAGCGCCACCACGCTTCCCAAGCGGCGCACTGTAGCAGTGCGCCACCGGGCCGGCCCTGCATCTTGCTTTTTTAACCCATATTTTTGAGATCTATTTTAAGTGTCCTCTAGTATATTATGAAGATATTACATTTTATTTTATTCCCTATTGATAAACATTCAGGTTGTTTTGATGTTTCATTTTGATTTTGCGGAAACAAACATGCTGCTGTGACCATGCTTGTACGTGTCCCCTGATGCAAATCTGTGGTGGTTTCTCCTGTCCTGTATCCAGAAATATAATGTTCAGAAGGTGTTTTGCATGCATAGCTGGAGATAAACCCCATAATTTTCTTGAATAATTAGCAATGGATATTTTGAAGACCATATAAGTGGCCCAGTTCTCTGTCTAATTCAAAATGTGGACGCTCCAGAGCTTTTCTGTGTAATTTGGAGTATTTTGAGGAAAAGCTAGCTGTATATTGGAATGTAAACTCTGTAGTTTCATTAGTGTGAGTACCTGAAAACTTGCTAATGCCCGTTCAATGTGTAAAAGGGAACAGGCAGACTAAGGGAAGGGAGAACTTAATGGAGGCATGTTGGTGGCATTAAAGTCAGTTTCTTCTTTTGGTGAGTCTATAAATTCATTTATAAGGCAGGCCTTTCCCTCTGAACTTAACACTTGGAAAGAGTTAGCTGATTAGTGGTAATTGCCTCAGTGATAGAACTGATCTAGAAAATAGTTACCCAAAATACATGAATTGACTTCATATTGTCAGAACATAGCTTGGATTCGGATGACATGAGAGCCCTGCCACCTCCACCCTCCTCTGTGACTTTCCCCAGGACTAGAAATGGCTCTTCAAGGGCTTATGCTCCTTTTCCAGCTGGACCATGTGAACTGGAGCATGGGATTGCTGGGAACTTCCTCAAGGTTTAAATAACCCCCACACCACACAAGTGAAAGGATGGCTGTGTGTCTGTTTCCATGTAGCATTTATAAAACCAGCTTTGGGTTCCTCTTAGGAAGGACCTAATGCTTCAAATAAAAGGACCATTGTTTCAATTAAAAGCAAACAACCAAAAAAAACTAAATTCCCCTAACTTTAGCTGTCTTGTGTGATTTCTCCAAGAAAACACAGCAAGATTCATTCCATCAGGAGCCTGGCTATGCAGCCTGCAGAACCGAATTCAGAAGTGCCAAAACAGGTCAGTAATGGTGATGTACTATTATAACTTTTTCACCAGACCTTCTCTACTGAGCACAGGGCTTTATAGTGTGCTTTCCAGTTCTGCATCCTTTACCATTGGGGTTTTTTACAGACAAGAGTGTGGTTGTGGGCCCTGGCTTTGGCTAGTCAGCGGCTTTGTGCTGTGCACAGCAGGCCTGGGCCCTGCAGCGTGTCCTGTTTTCAGTTGACTGTCTGTCTACTGTGTGCTAAGCACTGAGAAGTTTGCTTTGTTGGCCTGAACTCAGCTTCGGGGTGGAACCTTCCATGGGAGCCAGGAGCACTCAGCCCACCCTCCTGCTAAATGGGTCTGCTTGTGTGAAGTGATGGGGACCTGCTTTGCAGCTGATGGGCGTAGCTCCTGCGTGGGGCCAAGTTTGGAAAACTTTGCTGGCACAGAACTGGGTAGCGAGTTCCCAGGGCTTGTGTTACAGGGCAGTGACCACAGCAGGCGACAAAAGACATTATCGCTCTTGCTCTGAGGGTAGTGGACAGAGCCATTTTCCCCAGAGTTGGTCTCTGGGTAAGTGTTTAGAGTTTTCTCTAAAAGAGAATAAGAACTTTGTTGATGAAGAACATGAACAAGGTTTCATTGTGAGTCCAAAAAGATCCCTTACTCTGTCCTTGCTACCTTAAATGTAAGCAAAGACATTTTTGTCATTTTTCCAAAGGTTGCATCAACTTGCCTCCAGCAGCCCGTGATGTTTTCCTTCTATCCCTGCCCACCCTTCCTTGGGAAGCCCCCCATGGGCTGGAGGGGCTGTCTTGTTCCATAGGAACTTTGGAGACCCAATAGAGACTGTGGGTCCTGGAAAGCTGAGATCATGCCTGACTTATGCTGCCGGGGACCCAGCATCGTCCACTTCCATACCCTGAGAGATCTTTCTGGATCACGACCAGAGCGCTTCTATGAGTGCCCGCTTATTATCAGAGTGCTTTGCCCTAAGCCTGGGGATGCAGCCTTTATCTGGCAGCCCTTCCAGCCTCTCCAAGCCTGAGGAGCTGTTGTCAAATCAGAATCTGACTTGTCCCTCCTTTTTTTCCAGCTCTGGTGTAACAGTCTCCCTTCTCTCTCCCTCTCCCTTCGTCCTTTTCCTGCCCACCCCACCCAGTCTCAGCAGAGCGCCAGCCTTACATTTGGAGAACGTGCCGAATCCCCGGGTGGCCAGAGGTGCCAGCCAGGAAAGGACGTGAACGTTTCCACTGAGGAATCAGGGCCACGCCCGAGCCCTGCTGGGAAGAGGAGCCCTCCGGGCAGCAAACAGGCCGACAGGGCCACCACGGCGCCGGCGGAGGACGAGGAGGAGGCCATTGCGGACAGGACCCCGCAGAGTAAACCTCAGGCCCCGCAGCCAAGCACAGGTCCAGCATCCCGGGCTGCCAGAGGCAGCAGTACTTCCATTCCTTTCATTGACTGCAGTGATGTAGATAGTGAACACGACCTTCTCAGAGAACAAGTGTCCCAGGCACGGTCCCAAACAAATGACAATTATGAGGGTGATTTGACCAGTGGTGTTTATCTGCTCTCCAGGGATGAGAGGCGAATAGAGGCTAGGCATAGGGCTTCCCCTCACTCTGCAAAGTTCTCCCGGCCTCCTTCCAGAGAATTCTTTGATGACGATTCAGCAGACATAACCTTTGATATGAGCGGGAGCCCTAGACTCCCACGACATAGCTCTCTGATAGATGAAATGTTCAGGGGCTCAGCTGGTCACAGCCCCCTGGCCACCCCATTGTCTCCCAGCAGCAGCAGTTCAAGTCCAAATATGAGTTGGGACAGGACTGGGTCTCAAGGCTATGTTTCCGAAAATGGAAACGACCATAGAGAGAAGAGTGTGGGAGAAGATACTCTCCCAAACTGGGGGCCTCCTTATGAAAACTGTTCGCCCATCTTGCAAAGGCCGTGCCTACAGAATCTCTCTAGTAGGTGTAATAGGTCAGAGACAAATCCACTCATCCTTAGCCAGGTGGCGTCAACCCCAGAGGCCACAGATAGGCTTGATGGCCATGAGAAGGGAGGACTGGCCAGCGCGGCTGCTTGCGGAGGGAGAAGGCTGGCTAATGGTGCGCCTCTCGTGGGTCTGACCTCAAGGGTCCCCACTGTGCAGTCACTGTGTGCTGGTGGCATGGCAGGCCAGCCCGCACCCCTGCAGATGACCGAGGGCTCCACCAGCAGTGGGACTGAGTCTAGTGATTCTGACTGTGACATGCTGAGCCCCGTGAGCCAGCCCCTAGTATTTGGCAACCCTGCAGCGCTGAGCTCCCCTTCCCTGCTGAGAAGTCACAGAGCCCCAGGTGGCCTGCGTTTGAGGGAGGAAGAGGAGTGAGACGCTGAAGGCCAGTCCGTAGCTGTTGGCAGCCTGGGCTCCGTAGAGATGATCTGTCCTAGCGACTCGTTCATTTTTAGTCAACATTAGTTAGGGGAAGCTTTGGCCAGGCACGTGTTTGGATAGGGTACGCCTGACTTCTGAAGTCTTTAAGAAAAGCAAAAGTTCACCCAGGTGGCTTGCTTTCCAGAGAAGGAGGACAGGGCCTCCTGACAGCAAGTCCTCGTGACGGGCTGCCATCGAGGCTAGGAAGAAACACTTTATTATGAATCTGATAACACGTTTAGTGTTACAGTTTATGGCGGTTTCTGTGTATGTTCAGTTACGTATGCAGATCCCCCTCCTGTGGGTCGAGTGTTTGGACTAAAGTATCACTGAGCTCACAGGGAACGTGCTGGTTTTACTCTCCCCGCTTCCTTAAAAGGAGGGCTGCTCTTCTGTGCCTCATAAGTGAGGAACTGACAGAATTCAAGGCCAAGTGTAAATTCATTGCTAGTTGAGATTGTGTTGGTGAAATCTTAGTTAAGAATAATTAATATTTTAATGGGAAGAATTGGGGTTATTTCTGCTTTCCAGACTTCATAGGAAGGGCTATCAAGGTCATCAAATCTGCATGAATCATAATTTACTTGGGATTGCTGGTCTGGTTTGGGTTTGCAGTGATGGGTCAAATTATTCATTATGTTGTAAGAAGTCATAATTCTGGCTCGCAGAGTCTCCTGGTGAAACACAGAAATGCTGTTGAGTGGTGATGCAGGGAAAAGTCATAACTCGTGGTTGACACTCCTGTCACTAGTAGGTTAGCAAACTAAATGCCAGCCTTTGAGTCCTGCACAGCACAGAAGAGGACTGTTTTCCAGTGTCATTGCCCTCGGTTGGTTTTTATGCACATTCTCACTGTTCATGCTCCTGTGAACACTGTCCTCTATGGGGAACACTGACACTTGGATGTTTCTCTGAGCAGGAGGAAAAGAAAGTGTAAGTAGTGAGAGGTTTGACTTCTGTTAAAACCTTGCCTGCCTGCCAGTGCCTTTTCCCCGGCATTCCTGTATTTTAGATCAAAGAGCCTGGTTTTGACTTGTATTGTGTCTCTGCCTTAGCTGCACGTTGGAATCACCTGAGACATTTAAAAATGAGTGACACCTGGTTCCTGACCCTGGGAACTTTGATCTAAGTGGTCTAGAGTGCCACTTGGGCTCCCCAGATAATTCTTCTGGGCAGCCAGGGTCACTTCTCAACCAGACCTGATTGCCTTCTAGATTCTAGTGGAATATGTTGAAAGAGTTAGCTAAATTTTTGGCTTGCTTCCACAGTAAGAAAAGCATCACAAATGAAATGCTTTTTCTTAATGCCTGTGGTTTGTATTCTTCAGTCTTTGGAACTTTTTTTTAAAAGATAAATTGTAGGATACAATTTTTAGATCCTAAGCAACTATGAAATTATTGAAAAGAGTTGTAACAATGATACGCCCCTGATGTGCCACCATGCCAATGGCCTTACTAGGCCCGTCATGTGACTTTCTCACAAGGGAAGAGCTGAGATCGTTCAGGAAACTGAGGAGAACTTGGCAGCAGAGTATAAAAAATGGAAGCGGTGACTCATCTTGTGGTTCACAAATGATTCTCTGTCCATGTAGATGTCGAGAAGTCGGTTTTAAAGACTCTGAGGACTTAATCCATTTTTACGCAAACTTCTTTTAATTTTCCTAATCATTTGATTCAGTGCATGATTGGTGAGTCAAACTGATTATTGGATAGTCTGAAAGTTGTTCATTGAAGTAGTCTGTTTACGTCTTGCTTTAGATTTATGTACTTTACAGAATCACGGAACTTTAAAACTACAAGGGACCTTAGAGGTCATCTAGGCAAACCTTCATTTTATGGATGAGAAAACTTTTTCTTAGATTTTTGTATTTATCAAGATCACAGAACTTTAAAACTAGAAGGGACCTTAGAGATCATCTAGGCAAATCTTCATATTGTAGATGAGAAAATGTTTTCTGACAAAGTTAAGTGACTTCACATAGTAGCTATTGCATGACAAAGCTGAAACTGTAACCTTGGTCTCTAGGCTTCCGCCTTTTATTCTATGTAATATCTCGGTGCAATAGGAACATTTTGAACCAATATTTTTAATTTTGGAGAGTCTTGTGTGGATTAATTAAAATCAAATGTGGAGATTTTACTTAAGCAATTATAAGCTATAATAGGTAGGAAGAACTACTTTTTATATTGTCAGAATTTTGCAGTTATAACATGTTTTTGCATATTCTGTTGGACTTAGAAAAAGATGTCAATTTGCTGTATGAAAGTTCAGTCAAATGTGAGTTAGGCAGAGTCCAGTTTGGAATCCTGTGATTTATTCGTGAAGGTGGTTTGTTCAAATGAGTTTTCTTTTTACCTCTGATTGTCCAGCAGTCTGATAATGAAGCATGAATGAGCAATAGGGATTAACTTACCCAGCGTGTAGTACAGATCATAAAATGTAAACCTCTAAAGCAAAACATGCTCCAGTAATTATCTTGTTTTGCTTTTTCTCATAGAAGTGATTTTATCTGAAGTGTTTTAAAAGCACTTGATCGATGGTGATGCGCTCAGTTCTCTATTGACAAGATTTTCCACTTTTAGAGTTGCTCATGGGGTTTTGCTCTCATTGGTTTTATACCAGCCAAGCAGCTCCATCTCTGCCTTTTGGGAAGTATTTATGAAAGCAACGATCCTGGTGTAATTAATGGTGCTTCAAAGAGAGGGAGTATAGTTTCAAAGGCCATGTATCCTAATGTGCCGAGAATATTCACTATTATCTCTAGGAGTGCTTGTCCTAACTAATAAAGATTCCAGAACGTTAGTTGGAGAGTAAATTTATGCATTCTTTGAGCCTGGTGAAGCAAGTTTGCTGAGGTGACAGGTCTCCCCACTGTCCTTGTGCAGATCTCAGGAAAAGTCAGCAGCCTCTATCATCCCATCTATCATGCTCTGAAGTCCTAAAGTCTTAGCTGGACTTCAGAGTCTCACTGCGTGGCTGAAGAGGGGCCCACGCCTACATAAAGTTTAACTAACGGTGGGGGAAGGCCAGGGTTGAGGTTGGGTGTGAAGAACAGGTAGCAGAGATTAGAGACTTGTGAATTCATTCAGATTTCCAAAGGGATTTTGTAAGACCTGTCCACTAATATTTCTAAGACAGTAAGTAGCTAGTGTTCGGGTCTCCTGACTCAACAAGGAATCCAGGCCTTAGATGCTGGCCACTCTGTGAAACGGTGTAAGACCATGGATGGAAGACAGACCCTCTGTAGAAACACACCAGGGCCTCCTTGCATTAATATCTTTTGTTGGATATTATTTTGAAATATGTAAGTTGCAGACCCTTTTGTGGTTGCTGTTGCTTGCTAAAGGCAACATACAAATGCAAGAAATTCTTTTAGCATGAAGAAATGCATTTAATGAGTTCCAGAACCAAAAAGAATTGCTTCAGCTTCCTTTAACAGTCATCTGTATGCCATTGACGATATTCTATTAGACAGGCATTTCATTAGAGGGAGTCTGTGGGCCAGATTCTTTCCTACATGTATGATTCATATTTGGAGATTTCTCACAGATTTATCTCACCAAGTCCTGCCGTGTGGCCTGCACTTAAAATGGAAATAATTCTGATTTTATTCTCAAGAACATCTTTGAAGATTCAAACCAAGCAGTGCTAAAACAGCTAGGCCTGAAAAACTAAAATGTAGCGTGAGCCTCTCAACATTTCTATCACGTAGACAAAATCCAGTCTGCCCTGAATGTGCATCAGAACTCAACTTGACAATTAGCCCTGGAATCATTTTGTGTTGTCAATCGAGTTTCTAAAGGAAGAAAAAGTATACATATGAAACTGTCACTGTAAGTGTTGTTAAAACTGTTGTGAATGTGCACACTGACCCTTTCTCACATCCATAATCAGTGTGCACGTGCTTTTGATCAATTTTTTCCACTTAAAACATTACTCCATATTTCAGCACAGAATGGGTTTGGTGGAACTGTAGCCATTGTGTTACCA